GCTGATGGAAGGTCAACTGACTTTGAATGTTTCTATGTGAGAGGAAGAAGGGTTAATTTCTCTCCATCTGAAATTAACAAATTTCTTGGAAGATCAAATGAGGCTTGCCCTGAACTAGAAGTCACTGACAATGAAGTTTGCCAAACCATCACAGCAAAACAAGTCAAGTGCTGGCCCTTAAAAGGCAAGCTGAATGCCAGCAAACTAAGCATGAAATTTGCCATCCTGCACAAGATTGGTGCAGCCAACTGGGTCCCTACCAACCATAAATCAACCATCTCCACAGGATTGGGGAGATTCATTTATGCTGTTGGAACCAAGACTGAATTTGACTATGGCAGGTACATTTTTGATCAAACTTTAAAACATGCTGGTAGCTATGCTGTTAAAGGCCCAATTGCCTTTCCCTCCCTCCTATGTGGAATCATCCTTGCTCAGTACCCTGATATCCTGGTGGAAAGAGACACTGCTTGCAAAAGAGCTCCTGCTCTTGGGTTACACTACAAGCTGTTTCAGGGATCTCATGTTCCTGACATTGTCATAACATCAGCTGAGACATCATCTGTAAAAACTCAGTCCAAGACATCTGATGTTATAGCTGTATTGAAAGAGACCTGCAAAGAGCTAGAGACAAGGAAAAAGACTCTAGAAAACCTAATTGCCAAATTAGAACAGGAGGAGACTGAAGGAAACAGAAGGGAAGCGGGTGCTGCTGAAGATCAGCTCAATGCTGAAGAAAGTAGCTCCTCTGAAGGTGACAGTGCTTAAAGTTTGGTGGAATTGACAAGCCTGATGCTGATGCTGTTGATGCAAGTGTCTTCAGATTTTATTTGTTATTTTTATTACTTATTTTGGATGACTGTATAATATTTAAGTACATGTATCTTTGGCCCATTTGTGGCTAAAGAGAGGGAGATATTTTGTGTTAATTACTTGGTAGACCTCATATTTTTTCTGCAGTCATATTCATTCTGCTGCTCTCTATTCTCTGATTGCTTAGGGGTTTTAGCCAAAAATCTGCTAAATGGGGAGTTTGTAAGTGTTTAGTTATTGGCATGTTTTTTTGGTAAAACCAGGTGTGTAAATGTCATGACTGATGTCATAACATTCTGGATTATTAGGTTCTTTATGCAGAAAAAGTATGGCATACAATAGCTACTGTGTATGAGTGTGTATCTGAGCATTTTGGAAAAGATCACATTTAGTGCCTTCTACCAAAATCAGTAAACAGGAATTCTGATGTCATAACAAATATTAAGACATCCTGTACTGATCTAACATATATGCAGTTTGGTTAATTCTGAGATTTTTCAGGAAGATGGCTCATTCTTTCCAGAACAGATTCTCACGTGGACTTTAGGTTAACCTAGCTCAACCTTAATCTGGTTGATAAAGTCTTGTGACCAAGTCTTAAGGTTAAACCTAATTAACCCTAGCTTTTTGTGGAAACCCTAACTGAAGAAACAACGGCTATATATTCAACAGGATTGCTGTTTGGAAAGTATCTCTTTTGACTGAAGATCAATTAGGAGCTATATAGTTTTAACTATTGTAATCCAAGCAAGTATCATTGTGATAAGTGACTTGGAATAGGTTTTGATTGTAAGAGTTTTTGTATCACTCAAAGCTTTGAAGTAAGAGTGTTTGTGTCTCTTGACTAAAGCTTTGAAGCAAAGTCAAGTTAGGTTTATGTATCACTCAAAGCTGTGAAGCAAGAGTGTTTGTGTTACTTGATTAAAAAGCTGTGAAGCATAATCAAGTGTATGTTCTGAAGAGTGTCTTCATTAATTCATTAGTCAATTGTTTTAAGTATCACTGCTGTGATTGAGGGGGAGTGAGTAGGAACTCAGGTTTAAGTTGAACTTAGATTGAAGTTGCATTGGGTAGGTCTTAAGTGAAGGAGATAAACTGGTTGGTTTATTCCTGAATTAATATCTCTTATAGTGGATTTCCTCCCTGGCTTGGTAGCCCCCAGAGTAGGTGTTGTTTCACACTGAACTGGGTAAACAATTGACTGTGTGCTTTACTGTTTTTATTTACTGTCTTATAGAAAGTCAGATACGGTGTCATAACATTCACTGTGACATTGAGTATCTGCTGCCAGAATTTCAAATGTGTTCTCCTTCTTGTCAAAAGAGAAAACACAATGAAAAAATGAAATAAAATAAAAAAGAGAAGTTGTTGATTTTTGGCCTGGGAACCCGGTTACCAGAATTCGAGTAACCAGTTACCCTAACTAAAAATATGAGAAAATAGCTACTGACTTGAGGTAACTGGATACCATAACTGGGTAACCGGTTATCCAAGCCAAAAAAACTGGGAAACACTACTGTAAGTAGGGTAACCGGTACCTTCATACAAAAAACAGTTTTTTAACAGTTTTTTGATATTTGGCTCATGGTTTGGGCATTTGACCAAACACAATCTTCACACATTCAACACATGATTTTGCATAATTCAAGGTCTAGATTCAATCTTCGCATGATGACTTAAGATCAACAATTAAATTTCATACAACCTCATCAATTTGTTCATTAATTAAGCACTTTCAAGTAAATCGACTTAATTCAATAAACACTTAATTCAACTATCCGATTTCGGATTTACACATGATGATCAAATCAAATCACAATTCTAGGCTTAGATCTATATTCTCAATTCAAAATTCAACCTAGATTCATTTCATACTTGATCAAAAAAGTGCTTCTCAAATAATCACTTATTTCAAAAGTGCTTAATTCAAGAAAACTCACCGATAGAAGTGAAGAAGAGGCTTAGGTATAGAGATCTCAACAAATGGATCAACGATCGGAGAAGAATTGCTCTTGATCTTTGACTTTCAAATCTTGATGAAATTGTTGTTGTGTTCTTGATGAAAAAAATTGTAGAACTTTAATTTGATCTTTGAGAGAATTGAGAGAAAAGATTTTAGTGTTTGTGTTGATTTCTGAATTATGAGAGTTACCCCTTACAAAAAATTAGATTTGAGATTATATACATGGGCCTTGGATGTGCAACTGGATTGGGCCTTGACTTGAAAGCGTAAGCCTGACACAACCATAAAGTGCCACGTCATCATCCGTACGAAATCTCGATTCGACCATCAAACAGGAAATGAAGAGAATAAAATTTGTGACGTATTTCCGAAAGAACGAGCTCAATCAGATAAACAATGATTTAGTTATGATTTTTTTGAAGTTTCACTGATGTTGTGTTAGGCAAAAATAATTTTCTGTGCAGATTTTATTGCGTCACGCGCGAAGAAGATAAAAAACGAGAACCTTCGGGTCACTGTTTGCTTTCAGCATCTGAAGATAAGTTCTAGTAGACAAAATTCGTGAACTAATACCACCGGACCCAGCTCAATACGACAGCAATCGATCGAGATATGAATTTTACTGTATCAAACATTAATATAAATGAATTCCGGTTCAGCCCAAACATGTCTTGAGAAACTCAAAATTCACGGGTCCTTCCTTCGTGAATCAGCTTTTGACCTCCAAAGACGACATCAAGATGACATCGAAATAAAATTTTGGCAATCAGAACCGCGCGCGTATGACATTCTATCCGAGAGTTATGATTTTTTTAGTGCATACGAAATAACGGTTCAGCCCACTTCCTTTGTATTTTTTCATTGTATAACTTTCAAAAGAATGGCGTATTCGGAGACCTTCCTTCGAGATTTAGCTTTTGGTCCGAACACGAAAGTTGAAGAGAACGTCGAGACAGTTTCAAAACCTCAAGAGTTAATTTAAAAAACCATTCCAAATGAGAGATATGAATTTCCAAACTCAAATCAACTGAAAATCTATTCTCTATTCGCACTGCTTAAAATTCAACGAAAACACCAAAATCCTCTACAACTTGACATGCGTTGAACAAATACGGGAGCTTCGTCGTGTTGACCAAAATATCTTAATCTCATGAGCACAGATCCAATGATATACATGTATACGCATGTTAACAAAGTATAAGTCAATTAAAGATAGAAAAATAAAGAGGATAAATTTTGGGGTACAGCACTATCCTAAGAGGTTTAAATAGGAGGATTACTACATAGATGAAAATGCTGTAAGACTATTGAGGAAAACTTGCTCAGACCCAACAAAAATTGATCGATGATCCTTTCAATTCTGAGTTACTGCAAGAGGTTAAGGATTGGACTGACAAAATCATTCATGCTACAGAGGAAGAAGAGAAGTTGTTGATGCAAAGGGCAAAACCTAGGTGGATAAAATTAGGAGATGCTAATAATGCATATTTTTATGCCATTGTGAAAGGGAGACAAAAGCAGAACACAACTCATCAGTTAATAGACCAGTAAGGTAATTGTCTCACTCAACACAAAAAGATGGAGAATGAAGTGCTAAATTACTATAATGATCTGATTGGCACAACTGCAAAACATCTGACTCATGTGGACATTGAAGTGCTTAGACAGGGTGCTCAGCTTACTGAGGCAAGCGAGGACTATTTAGTAGCTCCTATATCTGAAAAAGAAATCTGGAAGGCCCTTACTAGTATTGGTGATGACAAAAGCTAAGCCTAAGGCGTGCCTCACCCTTTGGTTGGCTTTGAAGAAACAGCTCCCTACAAAAGATCGAATACTACAGTTTGGTATCATTGATGAACAACATTGTTGTTACTGCAACAGTGAAGAAAGCCTGCATCATCTATTTTTTAGTTAAGTAGGTATATTGAAATGTATACTTAAGTTTAATATTTGTGGTCTCCTAGATCTACGGATCAGATTGTATTCCTTTATTTTAGTAATATAAGTAATGCTTTATTTCAAAAAAGATTAGTGTAGATTAATAAATATAAAATTATAAAAAAATTAATAAATTTAGTGAAGACAGATAACAGATTATGCAACCCCCACTTCTTTTCATCACCACCATCCATATAGATTCATCTTCAACACATTTATCATTTCCACTCTCATCCTTCTTCTCAATCTAACACAAACACAACTTGTTAAGAATCAGAGACAAAAAATGTTCCTTTGTTATTCTTCCACATTCATCACACTCCCTTCACCCAAACCCCAAACCCTTTCATTCAACCTCTCTTCACACTCTTCTCACTTCATCAACCTATACCAGGTAAGTTCATCTTCACTATCATCATTCTCTAGAAAATCACATGAACCCATTAAGCATACCAAACAAAAATTGAATCTTTATGCTTCTCTTTCACCATCTCCTCCACTTGAAACCACCCCATCAACATTTAGAACCAAAAATCCAAAAGATGTTAATGTACTTGTTGTGGGTTCAACTGGGTATATAGGAAAATTTGTGGTGAAAGAATTGGTTGAAAGAGGCTTTAATGTTACTTCAATTGCTAGAGAAAAAAGTGGAACTAAAGGAAGTGTTGATAAAGAAACAACATTGAGAGAGTTAAGAGGCGCTAATGTTTGTTTCTCTGATGTAACTAATTTGGATAGTTTTAACGAGTCTTTGAAGAGCTTAGGTGTTTCTTTTGATGTTGTCGTGTCATGTCTTGCTAGTAGAAATGGCGGGGTTAAGGATTCGTGGAAGATTGATTATGAAGCAACTAAGAATAGTCTTGTAGCTGGTAGGAAGCTTGGTGCTTCTCATTTTGTTTTGCTTTCTGCAATATGTGTGCAGAAGCCTCTTCTCGAGTTTCAGCGCGCGAAGCTGAAACTCGAGGATGAGTTGGTGAAAGAAGCGGAGAAAGATGATAGGTTTAGTTATAGTATAGTGAGGCCGACTGCGTTTTTCAAGAGTTTAGGTGGTCAGGTTGATTTGGTGAAAGATGGGAAGCCTTATGTGATGTTTGGTGATGGAAAGTTGTGTGCCTGTAAACCGATAAGTGAGCAAGATTTAGCTTCTTTTATTGTTGATTGTGTGATGAGTGAGGACAAAGTTAACAAGGTTTTACCTATTGGAGGACCAGGGAAAGCATTGACTCCATTGGAACAAGGGGAGATTTTGTTTAGGCTTTTAGGGAAAGAGCCTAAGTTTTTGAAAGTTCCGATTGGGATAATGGATTTTGCGATTGGTGTTCTTGATTTTTTGGTTAAGGTGTTTCCTTCGTTGGAAGATGCTGCTGAGTTTGGAAAAATTGGAAGGTACTATGCAGCTGAAAGTATGCTGATTTTGGATCCTGATACAGGCGAGTACAGCGACGAGAAGACGCCGAGCTATGGGAAGGATACATTGGAAGATTTTTTTGGTAGGGTGCTAAGGGAAGGGATGGCAGGTCAAGAGCTTGGTGAGCAAAATATATTTTAAGATGGTTTTGTGTAGCAAGTTTTGTTTCTGTATAAATAAATGTATGTATTCAACTATAGTCACTTTAACATTTACATGTCAAGCATTGTTGAGAAAAACAAAATCAAGTATATGGAATTGCATTGTTGATGATTCATTCTTCAATTGCTTGGATTTGCTCCACTGCATTGCATAATGTATACTCTACTATTGTGTAATTGCATTGTTAATGGCACACATTAAGTGTATGCTGCATATTTAATGACTTTTCTTTCTGATTTGGACGATTGAATTAAATTTCAAAGATTGTGAATGCATTGTTAATGGCACACATTAAGTGTATGCTGCATAAATAATGTTTTCATTTGGTTATTGTTAGGATGGTTAGGAATTTGGAAAATTCAGAATAACCATCCAAATATAAAAATGTGAATGCAACAGATTCTAGTTGATATACATTGTCCACCCTGTAATGTAACGATTCTAGTTGCAACAGATTCATTATTATCATAACCACACATGAAGCTTGTGAATACTCCGAAGGCCAAGGCGAGTTCAGGTCAAACATAAGTGAGTTCAAGAGATCAGTCTCTCAGATAAAACTTGTATCATACACTAGTAGACAAAAATAGAGGAATTTGCATGTGATCTTGATGTCATAGATATGTTGTAGTTGGTATAGTCGTGGCCTCCTGATTCTTGACTCCATCTTGAGTGTTTTTTGTGTTGTTTGATGTAAAGTATTGTGCTTGTGATTTGAGTGGTACATGCTCGAAGTATTCTCCAAACCTATGCAAACACTCAACTGTAGAATTCTAATATTTGTTACATAATTGGCATATAGGTCAATTTCCTGGTAGATAAGTTTGGTGCTCATGTCCTCTACCATGCGAGAACCTGCCTCGACCACAAGTATTTTTGTGAGTTACCTAAGCATGTATTCTTGCCACCACTTGTGTGCACCACTGCTTAAGCAACATTAGTTAAATTGGTGAATCAATGGTGAAAGTGGTTAATTGGAAAATTAAATTGGTGAATTAAACGTGAAAGTGATTAATTGGAGAAGATGAAGTTTAGAAAGGAATTGGAGATTATAAGAGAGAGAGAGAAAGAGTAATTGAGGAGAAAATATCAAAATGACATTAATCAAAACACATTATATGAGGGTTTATATAGGATACAACTTAAAACAACTTAGGAATCAAATTGACCCAACAAAACAACAAAAACACCAAATTCTCGCGCTGGAAACTGGTTTCCAAAAATAGGGAAATCGGTTACTCCAGGCAAAATTCGTGACAGAAACCGGTTTCCACAAACTAGGAAACCAGTTTCTCCTTCGAAACACATAATTCTTCAGCTTTCTAGAAGTGATTTTCAAATAAGTTGTTTTGTACGAAACGAACTTAGAAGCTTTCAGAATGCATTTGAATTATATTCAACATCCAATACACCACCTTAATTCAAATTCCCAACATTCTTCATACCTAAACTCCTCACAAGCTTCTTGAACACATCATTTGTCACGCCTTTCGTCAACAAATCTAAAAATTGTTCTTCGCATCGACAATATCCTAACTTCAGCTGGCATGCACACACTAGTTCCCTAAAGTAATGTAAACACATCTCTATATGTCTGCTCCTCCCATGTGCTATGGGATTCCTTGTAAGATTAAAGGCTGAAATATTATCAACCAAGAGCGTAACAGTTTTTTCTGCACTGCTGCCCAACTCCTTCAGTAGATTCATAAGCCACACAGTCTGACACGCACACATCGATGCAGTGATATACTCGGCCTCACAAGAAGAGAGTGCAACCACAAGTTCCTTTTTAGAGCACCAAGAGATTGGAGCTCCGCCGAACATAAAGACATAACCAGTCGTAGACGTTCGATCATCCTTATCTCCGCACCAATTGGAATCTGTATAACCGAGTAACTCATAATTTCTGCCCGTATTAGCTGCGGGAAAGAGAATTCCACAACCAAGAGTTCCTTTGATGTATCTAAGGATCCTCTTAACTACTTCCGAATGAGAAACCTTTGATTTCTCAGTGAATCCACTTGCAATACCGATACTAAACACCAAATTTGGCCGTGTATTGCACACGTAACGTAATGATCTAATCAATCTCCTAAATTGTGTTGGATCCACACCTTGCTCATCTTCACTTTTGGACAGCTGCAACCTTGCTCCAGTCGGTGTTATGACAGTATTACAATGCTCCATATCACACTTTTTCAAAATCTCAAGAGCATACTTTCTTTGATGCATAAGTAGCCCCATTTTTGATTTATGGAACTCTATGCCAATAAAGTAAGTCATGATTCCAAGGTCACTCATTTCAAACTCTTCCATAAGCTCACTCTTGAACTTAGAAATATTCACTTCATTTTTGCCCGTAATCAACAAGTCGTCCACATATAAGCAAAGTATAATCACTTCTTTGCTTGTATCCGTCTTCACATAAACACCATGTTCGGATACACACCTCTTGAAGCCAACCTCAACTAGAAATGCATCTACGCGTTTGTTCCAAACTCTAAATACTTGTTTAAAACTATAGAGTGCCTTCTTCAACTTGTAGTCTCTTCCCTCTTGATTCTTCACCACAAAACCAGAGGGATGCTCTACATAAACTTCCTCCTCAAGTAGACCATTCAAAAATGAAAATTTTACATCCATTTGATACATTGGCCAATTAATGCTATTCGCAATACCAACAACCAACCATATAATTTCCAATCTAGCCACCAGTGCAAACACCTCATCATAGTATATACCTTCTCTTTGCAAAAATCCCTTCGCTACTAGTCAAACCTTATGCTTGACAATTTCGCCTTTTGAATTTGCCTTCACTTTATAGACCCATCTCACACTGATTGGCTTTTTCCATTTTGGTAAATTGACCAGCTCCCAAGTACTGTTTTTCTCAATCGATTCCAGCTCCTCCTTCATCGCACACACCCACTTTGAATTGCTTAATTCCTCCTCTGTGCTCATAGGCCCGGATACGGCCATAAGCGCAAAGTGAATAAGATCATCTTCGTTGTTGATTTTGTAATACGGTTGGAGAACTGACTTGGGTGTTTTGCGTTTGATCGTAATTGTTGCGGATAAAAAGAGTCGCCACCGACTTTTCTTTTATCCAACAAGGAAAGGTTGAAAAGAATAGGAAAGACCTCTCGAGATTATTTCTTGAGTTCAGGGGGTAGGTTATGAAAAGGAAAGGTATTAGCACACTTGAAGAAGTGAAAAACACAAGAAGGGTGGTTGAATTGTAAAACTGAAAATCAATGCAATGAACACGATATTTTTATCCTGGTTCGTTTGATCTCAAACTACTCCAGTCCACCCGTCAAGGTGATTTCGCCTCTCTCCAACGAGGTCTTAATCCACTATATTCAACTGAATATTACAATATGCTTTAACAACTGCTAAAGCCTTCTTGATGCAAACCACAACCCGGTTTGTCAAGGAATCACTTTCTTACACAGAATGGAAATCTAGGTGTGTGAATGTTTTCTACAAAACTGTACCACAACTGTGATGTTACACAACTTAAGCTTATGAAACTAGATTGCTAAACAATGATTGAGTAAGGAGATATGAAGCGTTTAGCAAACTGAGAGAAGGAAGATGATGATTAGCTTTTAGGCGTGTAATATAATGTAGAGCATTAGCCAATTCAATCTTCATTGTCTTGTTTATATAGCACTGAGATTGTTGAACGTTGGAGCAATAATCTTGATTCAATGCCAATAACAAACTTTCCTTATTAAGCAGATCTTGTCTGGAATGATGCCGTTGGTAACAATTCGCTTTGAATGCACAGTACCGTTGCTACTTAAAGCGTGTTCTGGCTTGGCTCATTCTGACTCTGCTTAAGTGCTGATGAACTGTTGTTGTCTTTATCAGAGTGTTGAGCGCAGTTCTGTTCATCAAGCTTCAGCATACGCGTGAGTTGTTATTCTGATTCTGGTATTCTGATTATAGCATCTTCTGATGCTGATGTTGATAACCAATATTCTGATGCTGATTAGGTGTGCTCTTGCTGATACCTATCAGAGTTTCTGCGAAACAGAACGTAATATTTTAGGTAGCAAATAGTTCTTATATAAATCACATAATTAATATCCTTTCATTTTGTTATCATCAAAACTTAGACTTAGGGTAGTAGATTCAAACTTTGTTCTAACAATCTCCCCCTTTTTGATGATGACAAAAACTAGATATTTTTAATTGAAAATAACGTGAAAAAGTATCAGAGATAACTAAATGATAAGATGTATCAGAGTAAGAGGTTATCAAAGATAAGGGATAAAGAGATATTAGATTTGAGAGATACTCCCCCTGAATTTATTACTTCCCTTTTTAATTCCAGGAGTTCTTCAGGATCAGGTCTTTATTGCCTTTCTTTGAACATCAAAATATCAGAGTTTTGACTATCAGAGACTTTAGATCAGAATGTCAGAGCAGAGCTTCAGATCAGAGTATCAGAGCTCTGCCTTGGGTCAGAGTATCAGAGCTTTAGTCTTCAGAATATCATAGAGCATTCTTGTACCTGTAGACTTAAGCAAAAACAGAAAACATATTCAAGTATATCAGAGTTAGAATGTTTGAGATTTTCTGTCTTAGTAATCCGTTATTGAAAAATATCTTTCTTATTCTCCCCCTTTTTGTCAGCAATCAAAAAGTGTAAGTGATGTGCTAAAACATTTAGAGCAGAAAAACTTGTCATATTAAAATATTCAGAATCAAACAAAACAGTACAGAAGATATGCAAAGAAAACATGAAAATGGCATGAATGAAAATCTAAGGTTGGGGAGGAAGGCGTGTGAACAGGTTCTCCAGCATGGCTTTGATCTGATCAACAGTCTCATTCTGCTTGTGCACCATGCTGACTACTGTATCTATCTTGCTATCCTGCACATCCATCCTTTCTTTCATCTTCTGGTCATTTTCATCCATCCTTTGCTGCAGACGGATATCATTCAGCTTTAGCTCTTCCAGAGTCTGC